CAATGTACATGAAACTTTTACTGACTGAAAAACACAAACTGCAACCATTGCTCAATGACAGTAATAATGCGACTTTAACTCCTACTTTTCATATTATACCGCCTTTCAGAAGCAATCTCTCTTCAAAATTAGATATTCACACTGAGCAAATTTAAGAATTCTGGTGCAATGGTTGCTTCGCGCTCAAAATTCGCAACGATCATAAACATGCAACAAATGTAACAATCCAAATATCAGTAAGCATAATAAGTTCTATGATAAATTTCTCCAAAAGTCCGGATTTTGAGCGAGCCGACGACGAAAATTTTCAAACCAATATTGAACGGCTGACGCGGGAACATAGTCAGCGCGTTCGAGTGCATTATCCGGTCTCGGCAAACGAACCACGAATGACTCAACATGATTGATAAAATTCTGAAGCATCTTTTGAGCGTATTCTACAAAGGTCGCCTGAAATAGGTTGCTGATGAATGATTGCTATCAGATTTTATGGATTATTTTTATAGATGAACAAGCAGAACTATACCGGTGATAATAACAACTCTGATAAAAAAATTAGTAGCAGCATTACTAGTCGCATCATTCACGTTTTATGATGAGTTCTCTCTGCTGACCACTAATCTGTGATGACAACTGGACGTTTACGCCGAAAACTTTCATGGAATTGAGAATGAACATTCCAATATTCAACGAAAACTGAACGGACCTGCTGGCTAGGCGCAGTTCCGGCAGCCGGGACCTTGTCGCTAATAGAAGTCAACGGTTCGACTTGAATACCGAGTTGCGCGCTCCCATGAGTGGTGACATTTGATGTTGATCCGAGGTTGGTGAATACACCTTCATGGAGTGCGTTCACTTTATGTAACTGCAAAATTTTATCATCTCTCACTGTGTGAAAATAAAACACCCACAAACGATAGAATGATTTGAATACTGCCATTTAAGAAATTCTCACACTGTTAGGAAGCGAAAGTTGGGGACACAATATACCTGTGATACACGAAATATAGCACTTGGTTTCTCATTGCAAATAAACCCAAGATAATGCCAATTCATGCCACTAGCATCACTCTGAGGCCATCGAATATAAACTGCAATCAGTATTATAGTTCAATTGGAAAACAATTACCATACTTCAGTTGGAAAAAAAATTAGGAGAAATTGGTTCTAAACAACAACTTTGGACGGCAATGACCACTCCGAAAGAGATTCGTTGAAAAGACAAGCTGCCAACCTGAACCACCAGTGCCCTCAGGAAAAGGTGTTACACCGGTGAGAAAAACAACCACATGATTGATTGAATCCGCATCGCTGACCTCAGTGACAAATTCCGTTTCACCGGCTTGAATGAAGTCCGCTTGCAACTGCAAACTAACGCTGACAATCACTTAAATACTGCGTATGACTGATGCAAAAGTGGCTCATACCTCTACGATCGCTACATCAATAATACAGATTAGAATTTAATGAAGATCAAGATTTCAAGTCAGATTTTTCAGGATACTCCCTATGCAATTATGGTTAACTGTGTGAACATAATGATGTGGGAAGTATGATATTGGTGATAAAAGAGACACTTAAACTCGTCACAAGTTGCACTTGCTGGTTTCTGGTTCTTCAATCTCAATATATTAAACCATTCAATCTCAACACCATCAGCAGAATTAACGTGTCAAAAAGTAACAGAAAAATAAATCCGCAAGAAATAATTCTAACCAATCTTCCCGCAACAATAACGCCGAAAACATTTGCACGCCCTCCGTTTGTACCCATTATTCGATTTTTTCAAACTTCAATTTGAAACAAAACTTGAATGGATTGGACAAATCACTGAAACCTAAATATAAACAACAACTCAAGCACACATAGCAGTGATTAGACGAAAAATTTCAGACAGACGAATGCAAGAAACAATATTACATAAATTCACAAATTTCTCGTTTGTTTCGAATTTTTCGTTAAAACCTTCTGTTACATAGGAAACAAGAGAATGCAGGATGGAATTCTGCAAAATCTGCATAACCCTCCCGTAAACAGAACAATAAAAACAGCTGTAGAACGTCAAATTCTACAACAAATAGAAATGTGGAATCTGTGAGCATATTTGAGAACCGCAAAAAAATGCCGCTGATCGGTATCGAGCTCCTTCGATCGGCAAAATTTGTCGCTTAGTGGTTTTTGTTCGCATGGTTGTAATGTTCGTTTGTTCAGCGGCTCTTCGTTCCGAGACGCCTAATCATTGGTGAATGCGAGAGGAATCACTGTCTGCACAATTTGGTGACATGCTTTTTTATGATCCGTGCTCTGTGACGTTCTTCCCTTTGCTATTGTTGTGATTTATTTGTGTCTTCGGTTGAGTCTTTTTTTAAGGCAATTATCCGCTTTTATAAGTTTGCACTGATAATCAATCGAGCACATGGCATTCACTCGAATGTAGTCGCATTCAACTATCTCATTTGGCGATTTTTCTTTTTCGTTTTTGATTCGATCACACTTTTTGACTTCACCGTCGTTTCCGGTGTATTGCAGTGGCCGATTGTGAAAGTAGCACGGAACGAATGTCGCTGTTGATGTGTTGTTCTCGTTTCAGACATCTGAGATCGCGTCGTTTTTTTTCGTGGTTGTTTCATCTGAACCGATACTTTCTGAGATATTGAAAGAAAAGGCGTAATTCAATTGAGAACAGTCGCGTAGCTTAATGTCAGGCTGAGCAGTTCACCAGTTTTTATTCTTAAATTGGCTATTTTTTAGTTGAGGTATCGAATTTGGTGATTAAATCATTGAGCAAATGGTTTGGTCGTGTGCTAAAACCTGATTTGGTTGTTAGTTAATGAGATTGTTATTGATTCGTTACATTGCTTTATTATTGAATGATTGTTTCACTGAACGATTGCTGTTGTTGTCGATAAATTGAATGCTTGTTAATGCTGTTGGTGTTGTTTTAAGATCGACTGAAGTCATACTGCGAATGTGATCTGCTGAGTACTGATGCTCACGAAGCCTAAGCCATATTTCAGGTATTGCATGATGGACTCAGAAAGAATGCAGATTAACAACAATACTAGTCTACCGACATCGTCTCATATACCACAAAGTATTCCAATACCTATGTTGCAGCCCAATCATAACACTTATACACAATCGTTACAGCCCAATATAAGCCAGTAAGCTTTTGAAGTGAAGTATCGATTCTGAAGTGTTTCATCCATGAAACGTCAGTCATTCGTTAGACGTAGATTAGCTGCTGCTGTTGACTCGATGACATCATATTGAAAGCTGACTTGAGTAGTGTTTATTCTTATGGCGTTGTCATGATAATGGGGCGTTCTAAGTTGTTAACNGCACATTTCTAGTCAACTGCATAATTGTAAAAACATTAAAGATTTGAATATGTGCTGGACAACAATATTCAAAGAACGAACAATATCAGTGTGGATAGTAATATCTCGTCACAACCGTCACAAAACGTGATGCGATATGATAACCAAATTGAGCAACTCAAACAAACCATCAATGTTATCTCTCATCAGGTTATATCGTTTACTATTCGATAATCTGTCATCTGGACATTTCATATCGTTGTATTTCCCTAGTTTATATTCAATATGGTACTACATTTCACTAATCATTGGTTCTTCCAAAACTTTTGTCCATAACATATTCTTAAAAATATGAACAGTTGAGGTGATCAATCCTTCGAGTTCATTGTTCTCGATTCTCAGCTGAAAAAGGCAGCAGTGCTTAGAAATTGCAAAGTTTTACATTTCGGAACGGAGTATGTTCAGTGGGATTACTTTGATTACATCGATTAATCGTCAATTAAAGTTATTCATTGTTGGTTTATGAAAGTCTTTCGGTTACAATAAAATGTCACTGTTTATCACCATCCTTCACTCAAGACACTGTACATTGTGTAAAGCAATCAGTGATGTCCGCATCAGCTTCTTTGAAGCTGGTAATGCGTTTGAATTGCTTTGTTCAGAGTAGATGTTGATCAGATAACGACTTTTTAAGGTATCCTTAATAATGCGAGCACTGCACATAAACCCGTGTCAGTGCACACAATGTGCAATGCATCCACTCATCGCGAACGCAGCGCAGTTTCATCAGGCAAATCCTACAACGAATATTTTTAATAAAATTAATAAATCCGATTCATCTGCTCACTCGTCCAATCAAGTGGCATCATTCAATAATTATAATGTAATTTTTTATTGTTTTTTCTTAAGCATTCAATAAATTCTTCGTAGCACAATCTTGGTTAGCATGTACATTTACATTTAAATTTGTGAGTTGAGATGCATTTATGCTGCTGTGTTTATCTCATTGTCAGTGAGCGGTTGATTTGTTGATGAGCAGTAGCTAATTGTTTGACTGCTCACCTAGTCAGCGGGATGTCTTATTGTGGTCATTATGATGTCTCTGAGTGCAGAAGTAAGGGAGCAATAATAATAATATGTGAACGATATGATTACAAACGATATTGATGATGATTTGAGAATGATGTGAATCAACTACAGTCAGCACAATCAAAAGCGAGAGGAGATGAAGATACGGATTGTACGGCGCTATTGGCCACTCTGTTTTCATCGAATCCTCCAGTGCTGTCAGATACATCATCGATTCAACAACCTCACATGTTTTATCCGTTGAAGCAACAACAGTCTGCGACTGATCCACAACAAAAATGTTATCTACTTGCTTTTATCATCACTTTCGTTTCTTCAATTTTTCTTTAAAATTTGCTTTTGAAACTGCTAATCAGAGCGGTCATTGTGATATTCATGTTTGCTGCACACACCAACTTGCTATTAGTTGAGTTGAATTAGCCATAGAATTAATGGTTCAAAGCAGCAAGCATTGCACTCTGTCGCTCCTTGCCTATCACCTCATTTTTCTGCCATTATTGTTGCTACCATTTGATTCTCTCAAATTTTACTTATTGTCCTCGAATCAATTGCGAATAATGCAAAAGTGAGCTGAAAGAAATACGAGGTTGAATTTTAAAAAAAAATCCGAACGAATATGGTTGTTCCCTTGGTAATGGCATGATTGCATAGTGATAGTTTTAAGTGAATGCAATGACAATACTAAAAATAGAGAAATGATGAAAATTTAAGTGATTCCGATATTCGATAACAGTAATACATATACGACACAAGATGAAGACAGCACAACACGTACCCTTGGACGTCGTAATAAGCATTATAAGACTTTGAAAGAACGGAAAGAAATCGCTGAATATGGGAGGATGCATGGGGCGAGTGCAGCCGCGAGACGCTATGATGTACCCGTTTATGCGGCACAGTACTATGTCAGGACTCACGCTCGCTTTGAACGATCAGGTTTTTGATTTTGCTATTGCGGTGATCAGTATGATTTATATCGTTGCCATAATCATTTCTTTCTAGTGTTGTTTTCATTGGTTAAGGAGCCATTAAATTGCTCGGACTGTACGGCATTTGTCGTTGTGGATAGTGATGATGGGTTTGGTTGTTGAGCAGGCAATATATTTTAATGGATTTGTTTGAAATATCGCTGATAATTAGTTGGTGAGAGCGTTGGTTTGAGATTATTCGAAGTGATTTTGATCATAAATCAGGTGAAGCAAACGGGACGAATGCGCAAGGTGAAATGAAGCGGACATCGCCGTCGAATGAATCGAGAAGAATGTTGAACTCATCAAACGATCAGTCAAAACAACGCTCTCGTGGTAGACCAAGATTGTTAGGTGATGAATTAGACGGTGAATTGTTGGATTATTTAGCGAAGGTATCAGCTGATTCATTTGAACGTTTTAATTTCAATTATTCGTGACATTCACCTGCTGAATACTATGCCATCTGTTAACTAAAATTGCTCGCGTTTGCTTGATTGACTAAGAAAATAGATTTGAGTCGTTTGAACTATACGAGCGATAGATTGGTCGGACTGTGATTTATCGGTATGGATTTAGGGATCATAATGGTATTAATAACAATAGTAGTGGACATCTCCGTGATTCATTGAATGGCTAGACGAGTGGTTATCCGATAAGCAGTTCACTGATTAATGTAATCATCTGTTAAGTGAACAACTGTAAAGAGTTGAACGTTTAGGTGAAACGTACGTTACCGGGCGGTCATTTGTCGGTAACGAAAGCACTGGATTTATCGCGTCATTTCATAGAGCAACGATCACCAGGCCTGTTGGTGGAATATGGTGGAGAGGTGTCTCTGCGATTCTCGTGGGCATCTGTCCTCGTGAGACGAATAGCTGAGCGTGAACTGGATGTGATCACTGCGCAAAACGCCGATAGTAACCACATTAACAGCACTGATACGGCTAATGTAAACACTAATGATGTGAATGGTAGCGATAACAATAATAGTAATCCTGATGAGAACAATAATGGATCTAACAGTCATAATAACAGTGCCAATAACACCCTCAGTAATAGTAATATATCGTCACCGAATGAAGCGGAGAATTCGTTTGGTATGTTTGATTCATTTCTTTCTTTTTCATTCATTCATTTATTCATTCATCAAATTCTGTTTGCTTCACTTTAACGAAGAATTGTTTGTCATTGTTTATCATTGATTGTTGATGATTTAGTTAGCTTGGAAGCATTTTTTGATTGAATGGTTGTTTCAGAAAATTGAAAGATGTTTGATTTGTTGATGAATGTTACTATAGTTTAGAATGAAAGTAGTTGTTTTGAGTTACGGTTTCTCTTGAACAATTCCAGTTGTCGATTTAACAAAACGTGTGATCTTGAGGGGTTTTTGTTGTTGTTTGAATTTAGTGATAGTCTGAATTTGGGTTGAGTGATGACGATGTTTGGTTGGTAGCGATAAGAAGAGTAGTGGTGTTGTAATTTAGAAGGATGTGAATGAAGAATGCTTGCAGTTAACACGACGCAAGCGTACACTCCGGCTGATCAGGCAGTGATGGAATTTGTCGATCCCAAATGTGATGCTAGTGTCGCATCGATAGTGGCTTACAATTCGGTCAAAAGCGAAAGCAACGAAGCGATTGACCGAACTGACACACAGAGTCATGAAGTATCTATTGATTAATTGCTTTGTTGTGATGTTGGTCGGATGAATTACTTCTTGAAGGATCGGTTATTTATTCACTTTGTTGGTTTGTATAGTAATTTAATGCGATATGTGTTTATTTGAATTATATTAATTCAGTCATTCCATTCATATGCATTAAGTAAGCTATCAGTTTTATATGTGTTCATTATGTTTATGGTATTTATCCGATTAATTTATATTTACGGTTTGTATTGTATTAGCGTAACTGAATGTATTTTGAAAGCAAAACAATTCCATTTGATGATATTCGTTGTATAATATTAATATCTGTAAATTAAATGAGATGAACGTGTTCGGAGTTTTTTTTTTGAAACGTTTGAATTTTGTAAAATGTCATCGATATCCTCGTTGTGCGAATTACTCCACTCTTATCTCGTTATCAGTTAATCACTTTGATTTGATGCCGTTTTTTGGTTGTTTTTTTCAATGTCATAGTGTAGGGATTTGCTGATCCCTTCTTATAATCGTTCTTTTAACACTGCATACTTGATTGTTACTGGTTTAATTGTTGCATCATCGTTATGTTATCTTATCATCGGTTTATTTAATCAACATCGTTTTTATAATTATACGCTTTAAAAAGAACTCACCACTTCAGCCTGTACTGTCCATCCATCCGTACCCGTACATGTAAATCTGTCCTTTCGCAAGCACTACATTACTGAATCACGAGTTCGGTTTGTACGTTGCTGGTATCTTTATTTACATTGTCATACTCATAATATCATTTACAAGGTTTGTTATTAACCGATACCATACCTGCTGCTGTCACTTTGCAAATTTTACTTATAATTAGCACTAATTTAGTATTAATCACTCGTATCACCATTACTCTCGTAATGTTCTAACATTCTTTAATAACATCTTGTCTGTCTTCATGTTTCGTTGTTCATATTTTTGCATATGTTGAAATAAATGAATTTCTGTGTTCATTTTCAATTGTGGATATTAACATTGCATTTTAATTTTGTGTAGAGTTACGAATATGAACGAGTTGGTATTGAGTGTGGCGCTGTACACTGTTCGGTTTCAAGCAAAACTCGCTTGCTCCCGTAAACAGTAATGTAATCTGCCTGTTGCCTAATTATGCGTTCATTGGAAACAGATGAAATGAATGATTCAAAACTGACGTAACACACGGCAAACTGTTGAGACTTTTGTATTGCGTACTCGTGTGGTACTGAACGATGATAACTCACATCGGTGGGTATTTCATCATCAAGAAAGTATTCCCATCAATACAGCCCGTTTTTCGATTATTCTTGACGTTAGATTGCTCATTCGACTCGTATCTTAAACTCTGTTGGAGTATTGAGTATAAGGGCTCCTGCAGTATTGGGCAATAACTTGGGTAAGTTGGGCAATAACTTAGGTAAATCTAGCAGTAACTTCGGTAAGTTCTAGGTAAACCTTGCAAATCTAACTTTAACTCACAAAACAGCAAATCTAGCAGTATTAATCCAGCACAGCGCACAGCTGCTATTATGAGTAGCCGAATATTGCTATTCGTACTGTGAGATCGCAATGTATGTGTGGTGAGGGGAAATTTGAAGCGAATCGAGCAGAGCATTCAAATGCGAGAAAAGGATTCATTCAGTTGTTATTTTATGTTGTCTCATTGTTATTACTTTCATTTTCAAGTTTCTAATTGACCAGCAATAAGTTCAACTTCCTTCAAATTTCCATTCGGATATCCGGTAACTTTGTTGTTTACGTTGCCAAACTCAAAACGGCATCTTAGCCTTTTGCATCTAGTTTACAGCGTTCTTGTAAACTCTTAAAATATGGAAGAATTATTGCGAGTGATTAATTTTGATTTTCTTTTCAGTGGCCTTTTATTAAGAACAGAATTCTCAGTTGATCTCAGGCAAAGATGAGCAAAACACATCCACCAGAGTTGAAGAAATATATGGACAAACATATGGATTTGAAACTGAATGGTAATCGGCAGGTTTCTGGTGTTCTTCGTGGCTTTGATCCGTTTATGAATATCGTTGTTGAAGACGCGGTTGAACAGTTAAAGGTTTCTATTTGACAACATTACGTTATGCATAACAATTCTAAAATTCCACCGGTTGNATATTTTTTGTTACATTTTTGTTCTAGGTTCCTTAACTTTTAACTAATTCTAAAAAGGGATACCAAACGATAAACTCATATTCTGAAACGCGTGTATTTTCTTATGAATATGTCATAATATACTCACAGTTATATTCGTACGAATAAATGGCGCGTTTTTAGAACGGTGAAACAAATACGTTGGGTATGGTAGTGATAAGAGGAAATTCAATCGTAATTATGCAACCGAAAGAACGCTTAGATGGCCGTTGAACATCGATCGCTTGCATGGAAATTCCCGTCTGTCTCAGCACTTATCATCATTATCAATCCATATATTCTCATTATTTATGATCTGTTTTCTTGTTGTGTTGTTATCTTGTTCACAAAATTGATGCAGTGTTATATTGTTCACTTTTGTTTTTTTATCACCGTTCGAAATAGCCACCAGATCACTGTGAATCAGCCGAAGAAGGTGAGCTTCTTCGTGGATGAGCTCTGTCAAATCCGTAAACCGAAGTAGTTTGAGATTTTTTCAATTTGCATTTGAATCAGATCGCGTTACTGACGATTCTTCTACTTCAATTGCTTTCCTCACCTTTATAGCTTATACAAATGATTAGCAACTGATGATTCTACTCAAATGAGATGAGTGTTCCTTTTTACGATTAGGCATCTGCTTAGGCAACCCTGAACATGCTGCTTTGTTTGATAAAGTCGGCAACAAAAAGTTAAAATATTGAACGAAGTGGTCAACTGGATTTTCTTGGATGATTCATGTACTGTGTGCTATGATTTTTGTTTGTTGCCGATTCGAAAGTCGTCGGAAATTTGAATACATTGATATTTTGCGTTGAATGTTTTGTGAAAAATTGCTGGAACATTAATAAAGCACTAATTAATTCACTTTTCTTATTGTTCAGACTCGTGTTATGCGCTTTGTCGATGAAAATAAGAGCTGAAGCAACGATAAATTTATGCGAAATAAATAGTGACTTTTGATTAGATTAGAATATGAAAGATGCAGTGATGACAATGAGGTATATGCACAAAGTGAACAGAAACATCAGATTGTTGACACAATGTGCAAACGGTGCGTGCTGATTTCGCGAATTATCGACTTCTTTGGTGCTTGCCGGCGAAGAGGAAATCGGTAGAAAACGATTGATCAGAGTAACGAATTGATCGACCACATGCGGGGGTGGTATTGTTGATTCGGTTTGCGCGATACGACGTAATATTAGCGAGACGATGAAGACGACTCCGCTCATGACAAGATTGAATGCCGCGTATTTCACTGAAACTTACCTCTGATTCACATGAATTGCTTCATGTATCAAATAGGTGCGACATTATTTCGTTCATTAATACAGAAGATGTGTTATCTGATTCTCAGTGAGGTANNNNAAACCACAGTGTGCCACTGTAAATGAGCTTAATTGTATAAGGTGAACTGTGATGCGCATCACTAAGTAGTGTCTTCTGCAAATCGAAAATAAGCGATAATTTCATCGAGAATTTCTGGGATCGTTTCAATCCGGAGCTTGACGCTGAGAAGGATGAACGAACGAATTGTTGGTGTGTGTGCTGCGAATGCAGGTAGTCGTTGATTGATGAGCGAAAGCGAGAAGATTTGAGCAAGAATCGAGAAGGCGGCCACGAGCGATTGATTGCTGGAGAGTTGCAGTAAGGGTGATGCGATTGTTATCATGGATGTTATCAGTGAGGGCATCAACATTTCACTGATAAAATACACCGAATTACGCTTCAGTATAGCACACAATTCACAATTTGTTCGTTCCAAATCATACGGATCACGTCGCCAATCGCTTAACATTTCAGATGCATATTTATTATCCTGAAAGTAGAACTCCGCTTGAAAACTTTTCCATGTGGATTTGAGTTAGATCATTAACTGCATGATTGTAAGTGGCATGTTGGAGAGCATACTTTCATTTCATTAATCGCAAGAAAAACATCAATGTTCATTGAGAGATTTTATGTGAATTTGAACAAAAATGCTTAATTCTTTTCGGATTGCGTATTCGAATATGCTGGAAAATATTTTGCAAAAATTGCCAACCTGAACTTGCAGTGATTCAATTGTCCATCCGCTTGCATGTGTGTTACTTAGTTCTTCACGTTTCTTACTCTTAACTTCGTCAGAAACAGTGAACCTAGTCGAAAGGTAGTTTTTATCGCCGAATTTGTAGCAAATTTTCTGATAATCGTTCGGGTAGTGCTCATACTGGAAATGATATGGGGCATTGAACGTGAAATCCAGCCACATATACACTTGACCTGTATGGTTCGCGGCAAGCACTTTGTTGGAAATTGTTGCAGGCAATGACGATGGCCTGCAATATAGCGAAGAATGGTGCATGTGACAGCAGCGTTCATGAAATGTTTATACGGCAGTGGTTCATAATCACACGGTTTAAGCCAGTGGTTCTCATAGGAGTAAAATTGCCCATCTTGGGTAATTTGGAGACGTCAAGGGGTAATGGAGGGGTTGGGAAATTAGTATTTCGTGCAGTTGTTATGTTATGACAGCTCGTCTATAGAGGGTGAAATTGCAGTTTTGNGCTAATTTCTCATTCATTTCACTCAACAATTAAAGTCAAATTCTCGTTTTATCAAATACACTCTATAATTGATCGTTTGACTGTCGAACGTTGTTGAGCAATAATATTCGATTGCTGTATTGTTGATTTCGGGTGTAAACACTCGTCAACGTATCCAGTAAATAGTATATTCTAAAGAAGAAGAAACTGATTCGAACTGTGAAGTAAAATGAGACGAAGTGAATGAGAAAACTCATCAAGAGAACGATATATGCAGGTAACAGCTATAAGAGTGAATACAATACGTCTGAAAAGAATGAGAATCCATACAAATCAGTTTCAAGTGAGCGTGTCACAAACAATAGCTTTCCATGCAAACATAATCGATTGCAATAATAAGCCAAACAACGTCTAGGACAGTGGCTTTCATAGGGAGTGAAGTTACCCGTTTTAGGGGGTGTCGGGGGAATGAGAGATTTCCGGAACGGTTTTCCGTTTTTTCCTGACTTTATACCTAGAAATAATGAGTTCTTGTATCAAGAGAGGGGGGAGGGGGTAACAGCGACCTGCCAGATCATCAAAAGTGGTAATGGAGCACCTGAACGTGAGAACCACTGGTTTAAGCATGATCATGCTCCTATGAAAACGATAAAGACGGCCACTCGGAAGAAATAACGTTGTCAGCGAAAATTGGGAGAAAAATTCCGATTATAATACGAGCGATTGTTAACGAGGCTGAAGAAAAGGAAGGAATTGTTGGTTTAATTGTATCAGTTTCGGTGAATCATGAGGAGGTGAGGAAAAAAGAATAAGTGAGAATATAAGAGAATACGCATTGAGTTGTATCAGCTGTGGTGTCCAAATCTGAACCCAGTAGAAATTCACCCAAGAAACACCCCACTGTTGTCGATTCCATGCAATTTTCGTATCATTCCAACTCTGAATTCGCTTTCTTTGTCGATTGTTATTGCAAGAAAGTGATGAAACATCAACAGTTCAATGGTTCTTGAAGCTTATTCAGAAATACTTCACAAAGCATGCGGTTTTGCATCTGATTAGTCGAACTCTAGTTTAGTGCATATGCAAAGTGAAGAAAAAATCTACAATCAGGCAAAATGATCATCAAAATGAGTATGTATCTGTGGAAATTTTTGTCAAGTTCCCTTTGTAATTGCTAGCACTAACCAGAACCATTCTGCCATGCATTTGAACGTCCTGCTTTTCCTCATCCTGAAAGAATGCCGTTTCATTAACTAAATATGGTATCACTCGATAATCTCAACTCTCAATAATGAAAAATTCCATTTCAAATGACACCACAACACCAAAACAAGCAATCACCATTTCAACATGAATCAGTCGAATACTTTGCACTTGAACTCTTCTGTAGATATTTGCGTTCCTGCTTGTATCATTATCATATGTTGATGCTATGTAGGCACGTAATTTCCAAGCATTATCTCCTCCTTGACAGCTATGACACGACAAACGACAGTTCGACATCATCCTAAAACACCATCCGCATCAAAACTCATCACCCTCATGAATATCTCGAAAAATGCACGTAGTGTTTATAATGACCACTTGTTCGGTGTGAACCAAAGTGCTGTGAACGCATCAAAGCCCATTTTGGTCTGACATATGTTCACAGATTCGATGGAGTAACACAACTTCAACGATATCTCTTTTCATCCTTCAGCTTCAAAGCTGTCTCTTTTGTTTTGTAAGCATTTTGATATAGTGATTATCGATTATGATCCAAATACTTTATGGATTGTCCACTACAGTATTCCTCGAATCATATTGAAATGCCTCGAATCATATTTTACATATTACCTACCAAACAGCGTTCGATTGACACTCTCCTTGACTGGCCCATATGGAACACTTTTTGTCCGAATCGTAACATCCGTCCGAAGAGGACACTTGAGTTTTGGCTGGAATGGAACAATCAGTGTGATTAATTTTATCAGTGAAAGATTCACTATTCAGCTTATGAAATGAATCAGTTTTTTTATTTGCCAAAAACAGATTAATAGTGTCAGCGATGAGTTATTTCATCGATCAGTTCGATATGAGAACAAATCTATTATCAATGAATGATCAATTGCACTCCGTTATGCTCGTGCAGATTGATAGCTGAAGAGGACTGAACAAAACAATTTCCGAATGATTTTCAATCGAATGAACACGACGAACATACCCTCTGGAATAGAATTTATCAATATGAATAACGGAAGAGTAAAGGTGAACATCGTATGATAACGCGTCATTATTGAAACTGATTGAGTGTGCGTACGAAATGTCTTCGATGGTTCTATTCAATCTAAATGAAATGTTCATTTAACCTATTTTCGGGATATCAATCTCCAATGCGAATGCATCAATCCATTGTCTTATCACTGCAGTCATTATCACGTCTTTGCACACAATCACTAAACTGCCCATCATAAATGCAACTCGATTATGCGTAGCAATCAGAACAATTCCACTCAAATTTCAGTTTCGAAGACAGTGAGTGAATGTGTATCTGTTTATAAAAAAAGTTTTCATGTCACAGGAAATAAAAGATGGACATGATAAGGATAAGAGAGACAGAAATTAAGAAAGAAACACGAAAGGCGAACGAGATGTTTTTAGTGGGAGAATTGAATTAGTGAACAATCGGGGAATAACGATGAAAGACTTTGACAGGTTCATTTCAGAAGATGGCATCTTCAGTCAATTTGCTCTTATAAACTGCACTTCAATTGCGCTCTGCATGTGTGTTTATTGGGCCGAATCGCGCACTTATATTGATACCGATTTTGATTTTTTGCTTGAACAGACTGATGAAAAAGTGCTGAAAAAAGTTTGCACATGAAACCAATTATATAAACTATGCGTTTGTTCGTTACGACAACTATTTTGTAAAAATTCAATGGTAAACCAATCTACTTCACTTGTTTGTGGAAATATTTTCACGTGTAATTCAGAGATATAGTTGCGACTTCTTTGTTTTTAGCAAATTTGCTAATCAAATTAAATTAAAATTCTAAATTGGAATCTGAAAAATAACATCGTTGTTTAAAACGCACAGTCACTTTGATCCAGTCGATACAATGAGATAAATCCACATGATATTGACTCATATGTTCCATTGGAAACTGAAATTCTCGATATTCCAATCGATTTGTTTTCAGTTTTCCGATGACATCCATCATGTACCTGTGAAGCATACTTGATTAACCAGGAAAGTTAGATATAAAATATTTCAGCAAGTTTTCATCGAGAAAAATCTATTCGAGATGACAAATTCATTGCGAAGATATAAATTTCACAGAATTTCCACGATCCAAACGACCGTGCTGAACAGAAACGTGCTAATGAGTGGCTGATCGAAAACCTGGAATAAGTTCGGAGAATCGGTGCAAGCTTATTTCGGTCACAAGATTACTGGTTTATGCATGAATTGATTGCGTTTGTGAGTAGATTTTCATTTGAGATAATTTCGAGTCCATTGAGTGCGGGAGGGGAGTGTAGATCTGGATCTCTCAAGTTTTATTGAGGGATCTGTTTAGCAAGGATTTATTGCAGGAAACATGTTGTATGCACTACGCATTCTATTTGCAGTTGATACACATAATGCAAAATGAATGAATGAATTGATATCCATGGAAATCGTGTGCGAAACGAGTCATGCAGAAAGTAAACACTTCTGATCGATAGTCTTATCGATGACTTGATCATGAAGCTTGCAGCAAATGCGAATCAACGAAATGTGATGAGCACTTCAGACGATCAGTTCCCACCTCTTCACGATGATTCACTTCAGTTGTTAGTGAAGTTTATTTAATAATTCAGTTAAATTGTTGCACATACATTAAGACAATTGACTGAGACTTGTTTGTAATGGTAATATTCGTTTGTATTGTTGATTAGCTGAAGTGCTATTGAATGTAGCAACTTGAATGATGTGTAAATATTATGATAAATGTGTATGTGTTGTACGAGATGAAAAGAACTTTGGATTTGCAATGTCTACAGATGATACTGTATCATCTCTCTTCTATTGTACAAATATCCTCAATCCGATTTTCGTCATTACAATCAAATAAGATATTTACATTATCTCATTTACTTTTAAAGTGTTGATATTATACAATAAACGCATATTTACAANAAACAAAGTCTTAGTAGCTCAATACAGAATTGATAAGTTTGATCAGTTTTTCGTATGGATCATTTGTTTTAATTGATCGGCGTTGATGAAACGTAAGCGTTTCATCTGTTGCATTTTACATGCGCTTACATGCGTGTTAATAAGGCTTTCTAGGGAAATAATTGCATGAACTGCGTATTCATTGTGTGCACAATGTTTACATTTGAAGATCAAATTACACTCATATTTATTCATCTCAGCACTTATCGATGTATGGGTACATGTCTTGGATATGAACGCAGAAATGCTAACACTAAAAATAGTAACAAGTTAGCGATAACTTCAACACTATTATTACCGTTCATAATTGATAATGGCCAGTGTGCAGATCGTTCATATGTTTTTGCTGTTAAGAACACTATTAAACTCAAACCATATCAGTGCATTAAAAAGTTCTGGTTTAATGAAGAGAAATCAAAGTAAAAGTGCAAGAGTTTCTATGGAATCATATGCTGAATCGTTTTTTTACTGCACCCGATTCTAATCCATACAGCATGATAGCTGAAGACGATTTGCAAACATTCATCAGAATGATGCTCAAAAATGCATCGCCGAAAGAGATAATGGATGATTTTTATGAGGCTTTCGAAAGAAAGACGTCTATAAAATATACTCTTTAAAATCATTTGAAATTTTTCGTTCAGCATTTACATCATGCCAACCAACCTTCATGATAGTGGAAGTGGCAATTGTAAGAACAATTCAATGGCATACTTACTAAGTAATCGTTTGAGATGAATGTCTAGAAATTGATGAAAAAGAAAAGAAACATTGATCAGCGTTGTTCTTATCATCATTGAGCCGTGTAACGCTCGATCTTGCATAACAAAATGATCACATGAATAGTTCCAAAAAGAAGAAATAAGACGACGTGTCATTGCTTATTTACAAATGCATAGTTTGAGATCGCTCAAACATAAATAATGCCTTTTGTGTGCCACTACTCCTGGCCACTAAGATCGCCTTCCTTGCATGCACGTTTCACTTCATCAACCATGCACTTTGTTCATCGAACTGAAACTTTTCAGATTTTAGCACCTTCATTGCTTTCTCAGATTAATGACACTTTCTGTAAAGTTGATATTTGAGGTGAATGCCAGTTGAGCATGATTAAATGTCAGATGTTTCTTCAAGAAGAACTTTCAAATGGTGTGAATGATGGGTGCATTATTTATGAATGAGCCTTTAAGTTCTCACTAAACCTTGACAATATTATATTCCAGTAACGCTTAGGTTCGAGAACTCAAAAAAAGGATAGAAGTTTTCACCTTGTCTCATACTATCTTGGTAGACTGAAACGTTTTTAACCGAGAATTAGCGTTATTTATCATAAAGTAAATTTATAATGGAGATCAACAAAATTTGATGTATCGCTGCTTGACACGTCAACAAATAATTCGATAATTTGATATCAAATTCGATCTTAAATTGACAGCAAAAAGTTCAGTTAATATTATCTGGCTATAGTAATGTTTCGTTGCTAGCATGATTAATAAGTGAATGATTAACTGAATGAATGCACTGATGTGCACATTATATCAAGCCGAAATGCACGTATCTAATTTAGTCGTCTTCGCTTTCTTTAAATGTAAGCATACATAATTGATCTGAAAATCACTATGAATAATTATGGGTTTTGATTTAAAATTAACGATATGCCATTAAGGTGAGCGAATCAAGGAAGCATCGTCAACGAATAATAATAATAATAATCGGCATCATCATCAAATGGAAAGGATTGCCTGTTAATAAATGATTGATGAGAGAATCAGCCATGTTGAATGCATATTGTTGATCGGTGAATGTTTATCACGTAAATTATCAAGTCAAGCAAATCAAGTGTATGTCGCACTCTCTTTCGAAGTTCAATCAAGCATCATCATCGTCATCAAAACCAAGCTTTATCTATCATCTTGAGCATGAAATATTAATGTATTGATTCGAGTGGAGTCAGTTCGAGTCATTGCCGCTCGCTATCTTAAGACAGGTGTGACACCAGTCATCGCCATCACTTACTCACCTTCGAACGGAAACAATCACGGATATGGCTTGAGTTTGCTCTTAGCAACATTCATCTAGCAGCATACAAGAGAGCATAGAGCATATCCCTAATCTAGCTAGCATATATCGTAACTGTCATATTGTTTAACCCATTCATTTGAGGTCACTCAATCTTTTTATCTACCTACTAATAATATACGTAACAACAAATAATAATCATCTGAGAAAAGAGCTAGGTGGTGTCTTATATGCAGCAAACGTTATTGATATTATTTTATAGCGCTGGCCATCCATCCATCCATCCATCCATCCAGCCAGCCAGCCAGCCTTTTATGTTCGGATTTGAGCTCGATTNCTGATGAATGGTGGACGATAGTCGTATTCGTTGATGGTGCTTTTTGCTTATTAGCGCTTCGAAGATGAATATCGACTAGCATATGAGGATTGCTGTTCAAAATCGATTCCTCAAATAATTTCATGCCTTCTTTATTTATTTTCTGTTCTCAAGTTCAATGTTTTCGTGATGAAACTAACACTTTTTCACTTCCATCTTCAAGATATTCGTGTTTGCACGAATCAAACTTTAAAAGGGCTTTTTGATCCTCGTTGATCATAATCTCACTATTTGCATACGTTTCAGTTATCCTCATCGTATTAATTGCTGAACATACTCTTATATCGTATTCATATCAAGCGTACATTCCTCTTGGGCACATTCATTAGCATTGCAATTTTTCTCGACAGTAATTAAAACATTCTTAAGCGGAAAGATATCGGCGCTTTCATGAAGTTCATTTTGTTGCATATTGATGCATAGACAGACACTTAGACATACATATGCGCACATTTATACTCGTATCTTGCATACATTCCAGATGATCTCCTTCACTTTTAATTAATCTTACCAGGATTAAAGCCGAAATAAACGTATGCGAATGTTTAATTAATTGCTAGAGTACCACATCTCATCAACACTTTTCTTCAACATGAAAATCGTTATCACTGAACTTTTAATTCGCTGTGCAGCGATTCCCAGTTTCAGCCATCCATAAAATTGCTTGTCTTTCTGATGTCGAACATTGGTCATGAGTGAGATAAGTGCTGTCGAATTCTTGGGAAATGAAATGTGTGTTGGTCGAGGCAAGAAAGTTGAGTCACGCACATTCTGAGAAGATACTTTCAAGCACCTGTGCTCAGTCGATCTAAATATTGCTGATGAAAACGTAGGAATTGTGCTTAATTGTAATTAATTATAAGCAAGATAACTGGATTATAGGTTTGACTGTAGCTATAAGTGCTGAATACTCATATCTGATTAGGTAGCGAAATGTCCCAACTGATTCAATATTCACTAAAAATGTTGCTGATGAATAAAATGAATTTATCTATACAAATACGCAAAGCTTTCGAGATAAAGCAAATATAATTGATATGCGTGTATGAATAATGCAGGCATTGCCTCATTGCCTGATCGATTAACATTTTATGATTTCATTAAATGAGTTTCGAATTATTCATTTGATATTCTAGTTGATGAGAGCGATACCAATGCTCCTCAATGCAATAAATCAATTAGATGGAATTTACAATGAGTCAAAATTGATTCATCCAATACCGTTGCTATAGGATTCAGTGGCTTAATTCAATGTTAAAATATCGTTAGGTGATTGTTGAGAGCATAATGTCACGTAATAAGTGCTCAATTGTGCATCATCTATCTATTTGTGCTGTTCAGGGCATTACTTCAATTAATAACTTTATTTTATACATCGTGAGTGTTTATTGCATGCATATATTTCACGTCAAATCTTGTTTTTAGCACTCTTTTAACCATTGATTCAGTGCTGCTGCAATTCGGTTCATGCTCCATGCATTTCAATGTGCAGATTCATGCATTGATATTGTGCCATCTGAACCCTCTAAATTGCCTATATCCTATTCTATCCATGCATCCGTTCAATAACCCACCACTCATAACCGATATAATCTATTTTAATAGCGATACATAACCCCTAGCATACAACCTACTACATCTGCTACTTCTACTGCATCATTCAACTGCAAATCAAATAAAAGTGTATTTATGTGCTTTTTTGTTCTGTTTGCATATAAATAATTAAAAGACACTATTGCATTTCAGCTAAAATCTCAATTTCAAAGTCCCATATGAATATTTTATGGTCACAAAATTGCACAGGTGCATTCATCAGTCGGCTGTTACGTTGATGACAAGTGAATTTGTTTGTAGCGTTTGACTCACTAACAGTCGTATAATAACGATAAGCGAGTTCACTCGTAACAATTTATACTCATTATTTTTCGGCACTAGAATGAAATCCCACTTTGAATGAGCGGTATAAATGCGATACGATATAATTTACGGTCATTTCAGTCAACCTCTCTGCCCGTCTTTACTCTTGTGTTGTAATGCTGAATTACATCTTTAAATTCGACGTCCCTACGTTACTGGTTATGTGTTTTGGTTTTGAATAGTATTTTCAGTAGCAAGTAATCCGCAATTATATCGCAATGTTTCATGATAATTAACTATGCTAATGTATGATAATTGCCGAGAAACTGAAATATTGATCTTGCTCTTTCCTCTCTATGTAAAACGCCACGTGGTTGAGCACTAGAAAACTTCAGGAAATTTGAATCGCCTTAAAACTGCACGTAATGTAGTATAGTAGTTGCTCGATCCTTTTGCGGAACTAGTGCTGATCGCCTCGTTTAGATCAAATCGTTGATCTTTTCACTTTCTAATTATCCGATTAAGATTTCATCATTACGGACAAAACGGATTCCATACTGACTGGATGAGGATTAGCATCTAGTGCTCGCAATATTTTTGGAAGTGTTTTCATGCGTAGTTTGTTCTAACAATGCTTTCGGCTTTTTCTCAACGCCGTCATTTTCCTCGGCTCAGGTTCGAGGTTGCAATCCGAGGCTATTAGCTTGTAAGAACTGGTTCGGTTCATAATTGAGTTGCATGTTTCATGTTGTAGAGAAATCGGATATGATCACGAATTGCACTGTCTTCTCGATCAGCAAATATAAGTAGATCAAATCGGTTATGCTTGTAAACTGCCGCGAAGTTTCATGCGGAAACCTTCTCGGATGTGAACTGAAATCGAATTGAACTGAGTTGATGCACTGAATGAATGATGAGTTTTGAGCAAGTGCATCTATCTATCCAAAGATAATGCATATTTTTAGTTAAATTAAATTGACTTTGAGAACACAACTGAACCTAATACGGCTGGACAACAACCTTGCTCAGCCAATACGCTTTCGTTGAGCACACTAATGAAGTTATGTGTGCATGATGAATGAATGAATGAATTGAACAACCGAATGCACTACGTACAATTTTGAATAGAGTAGTAACGTAAGTGTGCAATTTCATCGTATTGTTTCTATTTAGAAACAATGCTTAACAACAAATTCTTTACTACTATTTAACAGAATGGTCAGCCAGTAAGTAACTAACCTCTTGTGAATGTTACTCTATTACTACTACTACTACTACAACTATAACTATAACTAGAGTATATGACGATTGAAATACTCTTCTCGACAAGTCCACTAGAGGCGGTGCTCTGCAGAGTTGGCCCAATAGCTAATTTGTATGTAGCCAAGTAAGTGCTCGTCTTGCTCTCTCTCCCCTCTTTGCGATGATAATGGCCTAAAGCATCCAACCTGAAGGCTTCACACTTAAAACCACAACATCTGTGTGCACCAATATAGCAGTATTTGTTTACACCCGTCTGCGCACAACAATATTATTACATCGATACTCTTTACCTAGCTACCTACCTGAGATCGAATGTGTACATCGTCATTTCAGTGCGATATGAAAAGCCCTTGGGGCTCATCAACTATCTCTTAATATATATTCATCTGTCAGGCCGATCATCAAAATGTTACTACCTTTGTTTGTTATACTCACATCAAACACTCAACTTGCTCTATCAGGTGAGATGATAACATCAACTTGGTTTTGATCCGTCCGATTTGTACAAATCCAATTGACAAACTAATCCAATTGATGTGCTGGCAGTGCGAAATGAATTGAAAAATCTGTTCGCTTATATAGAAGTTGTCCGTAAATTTTTCTTAACTGATTTTTTCTGAATGTCGACACACTGAATTCTTAGTGAACAGAAAAAAGCGTGTTGGACAGTGACACAAATGCATCAAATAACTTGGCATATTTTTTCTTGAAATTGCATTGTCGACAAGATTCGATTGTCAAATTCGTTGAGAATTTTGGTTGTTCGTTCATATTTGGGAGTCTATTTTTGCGCACTAAAATTTCAAACGTCACTTCCTCATGACACAAAGCTCGACGCATTCACATAAAAACTCGTCGAAAGATACTCGGAAAACAAAAAATTACATTTCCCTGAAGAGTTGAACGTCATCGTACTGCCACTGAATTGTTCTGCGTGCAATGAAGTATTTCATGTCGAAATTTCGAAGCGTACACAATGTTGCGTGAATAATCACCGTGCAAAATTTGACATTAAGTGCTATATTACGCATGAGTTGAACGCATATATTAGTCGCAAATCAGAGCATTAAAATCGAGTACATTAACGGTCTTATTGCAATTTTTAATAACATCGTAAAGTGTGCATCATCAAAACCTCAAAGCTTTCTGCTTGAAAATCCAATCGTTCGGAAACGATCAATTATATCCCACCACATAAATGGATCTGTAAATGCTGCTGGGATAATTTTCTGCCTCTTCATTCAGATTTTTTTCCATCAGATTTGTCATAAAATTCTTGTGCATCCTCCAAATGAAAAATACCAACTCATGCAAAAACTTTCCACACTAACAATTCTCATCATCTAANTTTTCTAAAGCAATTAATAGTTTTCTAAAGAGATCAACTTTTTTTTCAATTAAAAATTTTTTCTATTCAATTCAGAGCCGTACGAAGTTCGGATCTATGAAGGTGCTCCGGTGGGTACAAAGATGACAATGAGCGAGAGCTTAGAGCGACGTCTAATTGGTGCGCGCAATTGTTTTGGTCAGCTGGAAACGAATTTGAGTTGGGTTGAGTTTGACTCTGAAAAATGGATATTTGAGACGACGTCTCGCAGTGTGTTGAACTCGTTGGATGATGCCGTCTCGAAAGGGATTCTTCGTCTGTTGTGTGCAGCAAATAAGATGTATTCAATTGAATTCCGCGTTCACATCACAAGGTTCGTCCCGTGAACAGTCAGCACTTTGAATTGAATCCAATCACAATAATAAAATAGCACTTCCACTTGCTGTTCACTTAAATTGCGTCAGATATTCTTAAATCTTTTCATGCAATTAATTGCCTATTTTGAGCAAGACTAAGATCAATTGGCTTTGTTTAACAGTAAATTTGATCGAAAAGCATTCGTTCTCAAAACAGCTAACGATAAGAATTGCATTGTTACTAGTGGAAAAGATGAATTGATAATTGCGAGTATCGTGATATTATCCTCATTTCACAGAAAGAATCGTCATCCACCTCAGTTCTCCGAAAACGAGTATCGTTTTTATTTGCCAACAAGTCTGAAAAAACTCTCGACGATTGGTCACGTGACAGTGATGGATCATGATCCGGTTATCTACAATTCAAAGGTTCGCTGCAACTTTCGCATATTGAGCACATTTGGTTATGTTCTAGAGTAGATATTAACTCAATTGCTTTTGTTAGTTTGAACTATGAAATTCATCGATCATTTTCTATCAACAATGGCTGATCACACATTCAAAGTTTCAAGTTATTTATGAATCAAGCAGATTTTCTTCGGGGAAGACTTTACGGTTTCAGTGGGACAATTGTAACAAACCAATACTTTCCAATTCCTTCGTTTTTGTTTTAAGAGTAGAAGATTAACTGGAATATCTGGCATACCCCCTCATCCTCCTTCTCCACTCGTTTTGCTTTAATAATATTGCGTTGAATATATTGGTCGCATGTGTATCATAAATTCATGCCGATGCACGGCGATAAAATGATATTCATTCGGACATGCGATTGCAGAGATTAGAGCGTGTTTGAAAGTGTACTCATTCGTTTTTTTTTATTATTGCGAGGAATCCATTCAAAGAAAGTGGATTAATTTTGACAAGTGGCTTGCTTATTCTTCTGAGCGAGCGTTCGGCTGTCTGTATTCACATCATTAAAAAGAGCGAATGAGATAGCACACATCATTAGAGTTGTTCAGCTTCAAATAAAATCTCATAAATATCACATCTCATTAAAATATCACATATTTGATATAATAGTATATATTTGATTCTGCACCATAAACACAATCTGTAATATTTCTGTTGCACGAAACTTTTAACATACAACACATATATCTATTAGACTATCAAATTTGTCTCCATTATTCATCTTCAATACTTCAATTAATATATCTTATGCATGTACTGAATGTAATGTTGAGTTACAACTGACAATGAGTGTGGAACAAGTAATTGTAAGGAAACGATTTCTTTTTGGAAAAAAGCTCTTCTTCATATGAATGCAAGAACAGCGAATCTCAATCGAATGTCACATGTGTGCATATCATTCAGCTCAAAATCCATCGACTATGCACATCCTACTTATAGCGATTATTTCATGGATGTACTACTCTACACATGCATAGTTGAACATAAGTATTTCTATTCATTTGAATGAGATATACTATTTCTCTATTGTATATATGAACGGATATCAATTGTTGTGAAAATAACATTTATCGTTGTTGTCAGCTTTTTCACCAATCAATCCAGTTCGCACTGTTGTTGTTTTCAAATCGTTTGAGTGGAATGCATAGGGCAAGTGCTTCAATTTTATGATTATTAGCATTCGCATTGTTCAGCAGCGAAATTTATTAGTTTTTTGTGCAGTATTCCGTCTAGCAGTGTGGCAGCAGCTTTTGCTTATCGTTCAAGCAAGCAAACAAACAAACTCAATCATGCACAATCTAATCGTGAGTGGGCAAACTACACAGCAGTGAAATCTTTTTTGCATCATTATCTTTCATTAAGTGCAATCATTTCCCATCGAAATAAACGCAATATATGCGTACTATATCAATAAANTCATATCATCAGCAATATTATCAGTATTAATCCCATCAATATTATCGATGCTACATTCATATTATCAGTATTAATATCTCTTCGAAGCATTATCAGCAAATCAGCAATATTATCAGAATAACTACCCATATCCTTGGCAACAAATAACTATCCATATCCTTGTCAGTATTATTCACATGAAATTATCAATGCTCCATTTATATTGTCTTTGAAGCATCATCAGTTAATCTATCATCTGAATTGCGAATATCCATTAAGATACAATTATCGGTGTTGAATGACAGTGCAAATCTGATATTTGGTATTCATCAAAATGGTACGATAACCCTCATCAAAGATGTTTCAACACTACCTATCTTCAAACCGATCCGTTACACATTGGTTGCGATTGATTTTGGTTCACCGCAGCTGTTCTCGCTTGCAAATCTCACATTTATACCCGTTTCGGTTTCAGGTATTTACTCCCAACTCTGCTGTTTGAAGGCATTTGTATAAACAGTATTTGGTTCAATAGGCATTCACATCAAGTTGTGGTTCATGAGTTATATTCAAACTTGCAGAATGCAATAGTTATCATTACATAAAGACAGTCATCAGTTTATTGTTCTTCTTGTGTTTCGTATGCAATCATATGAGGAGTTTACAGATCAAAATGAGTTCAATTCTGATCGACTTTTTTCCACCAGTGATGTTTGATTACTTTCAGAGGTTAAACAGATCTCGGTGAATGTGGCCAAAACAGACTACCAAATCTTTGAATGGGATAATCCAGAGCACGGTATCGCTGACAAGTTTATCGTATCTGTTTCACGTAACGACATGCTGCTCTACAGGAATGAAGTGGATGGTGCCAATAATATTGCCTTCTTCGAGGTTCCCTTTATCAATTTCTTTGGATATCAATCGGAACAAGTGTGCTGAACAAACTCGAATGATTAGTTTCTTGTCAGCTCAAGTTTGAAGCTGATCTGGCAATTCAGAAAAGTCAACTCAAGTTTAAAGCTGATCTGGCAATTTACATGCTCATTCACTGTCACGTATTCATGAAATTTGGGAAAGGAATTGAATTTTAGTTTCCTCTTCAACTGGGATCTGGCTATTCGGTTACAGTAACTGCGTCTGATATCGATGGTGAAACTCCGTCAAAGCCGTTCCACTTTTCAGTCATCAACTCAGGTATACAAATCAACTGTTTCACCATTTCACCTTCACACAATATCGTTTCGAGTAATAGTGTAATGTTGAAAGTGTTGTTGTTTAAGAGTTGAACTGCGACGGTGAGTGCTGGGAAGGTGGTGGAATGCCGATTTGTTATTATGGACAGTTCAATAGGATTGTTCAGTATCGCGACAACAGAGGACCGCATTGTAGTTGTTTTAATGGATACTCGGGCAATATTTGCGATATTAAAGGTTCGACGGTCATGATCTCATCCTCTTCATTCGACTGCTCTCTGCAATATCAGCTGTTGTTTTCACTAGAAAGCGCGGCGTATTCATCAGAAAATAATTGTTGAAACCATCTGAAGTGATTAAAAATGCATTAGCAAGGACGACTCAAATGATTCATGAATTCAGAACGTAAATATCTTATTGTCAAACGAATGCTATGACTTTTAGCACTATGAAAACGACATTTCAGAACGTTGCGCAGTGGAAACAACCATTGACGTGTTTGGTCATGTGGATTGGAATGAACTAGCCGTTAATGAAACAGCATCAATACCATGTCCATTTGGTGCCGAAGGGGATTACCTAAAAAGGAAGTGTTTATGGGATGTTGCATCGTCGAGGGGAATGTGGCAACAACTCACGAAAGATGAAACATGCAGAAAACAAGTAATCAGTAATTATTTTGACTGCGAATGCAATAATGCTCAGTTATCGCCATGGCGCATAGCTCATCGCAGTGTACCTGATGATTTGATATTCGTTTGAACTTGTTCGTTGAGTGTTTTCATGCACCTGAAACTGTGAAAGATATCACTTTAAATTCATTGTATTTCAAATGAAGTTTTCATCCCGGAACGTTGATTGTTTGGTTTGACGAAAAAAACTGCAACAATTTCGCTGTGATAAATTGTTTTATAAACTTGAATGACTAATATCATTCTCACTGTAACACTGGCTGTAGCAGTTGGAATGGGATTGAATAATTGCAGAGTTCCGTGTTGATACATCTCGGTGTTATCGGTAACTATGCGACCAATGCGAACACAGTCTCTGGAATTGAGACAGTATATCGATTCATCGATTCTTTGATTAAAGTTCCATCTTTCCAACCGAACATAACGAATGTCCATTTCGACGTACGTATCGCTGAACACGTCGTGCAAGTGTTCGATGCGATCATCAATCGCCGATGGCAACAAATCCGAGGAAACACAACACTTATAAAGGTTATTATATTCATTTGTCATCTTCATTCAGTTCGTCTTTTCGTTGGGCGATCATAGATTTATGAATCAAAAAATAGGATATTACCATGCCACACATTTTTCCAGATCAAGTTGGTATATTTTCACGAATGACATGCCCAACTGTTTCTTTTGTAACAATCATTGATTATTCTGTTTGCAATCACGAGTAAACTGCAATGAACATTCAGATGCGAATGTTCTCGTTGATAGAGGATTTCTGTGGACGTTTGCCGATACCGTACAGACTGACGTCTGCGGGTGAGAGTGTATCAATGCAGACTCTGCAGAGATTACCCGATAAGCATTCCTATAAATGGTTCATTTCATCCGATTGCTCAATAACGCTCGCACCATCTACAAGTATTGCACCACTGCGTGTTATTTGTCTACGAAATTCAACTTTGATCACCGATATCGATAGTGCAAATCCAATTCTCGTTATCAGAAGTGACAATGCCGTTAACGACTATCAGTACGTACAGATCGAGTTGAAACCGCACAACGACGACATTAATTACACGTGCGTTCGATACGACCAAAGATGTAATTCAATAATTGATCCATTCCAAAAATCTTATTGAATTCTTGATTCAAGTGCTGAAATTGCTAGAGACAGGATAGGATAGCGAAGTAAATGGTGATGAATGATTGTATTCCATAACTCATATTTATCATATTAGTGATTTCAATTGATGTAGGAGAGAGCATGACTCAAAATATATCATTAGAGCTAAAAATCGATCATTTCTAGATCACTTTTTGTGCAGCACACATTTATATTCTTGTCTTTTAATACCTATCCCAGCAATCCAAAAAAATGAAATCCTAATACATATTCGTGAAAACAGTTTGACTGGTTAATGAAATGAGAATATGGGATGTAAATGAGAATTTCCGAATGTGCTAACAATAAGCGTGTTTGGATACATTACAGTGAATGAGTGGACAATCGCAGACATAGAGATGATTTCGTACGATAGAGATGGATTCGTAGTCTGTCGAACGCCACACTATGGTCTCCACTCGCTGTTACCGGTACATTTTCTAGTAAAGATACTTGCTGAATGATTCATTCCTTTTGGTCATCGACCAGGATTTGATCTCAAGTTTCTCACTGCCATTTTGTTTGAATTATGATGATTAGGACATAAAAGCTAGAAGTAGTGGCATCACGTAGAAATATAATATTACCGTAGTTTGACAAATAAAATCACCACTCAAATGGATGTTCGTTTCAGCTGTCGATGTTCGTCAGCAACCGATCACTTCTCAGAGACTTTTCGTCAGGCATTCTAGCACTTACGGCTGTCTTAGTCGTTATTATATGCCTCTTTCTTCACTTACTGTCGCTCTTTCACGGGTTACTTTTTGCTTTTACGAGTTTTAACTGCATTCCTTTGAATATTAAAGCATTTCCCATGTTGTTCATTTCAAAACCACTTTCTTCAGATAAATTTTCACCGGGTTTAGCGGTGAAATGTTGAATTAGCTCTCAGATTTAAACGGTGATGCGACCGAATCTTTTGAAACAATTCACATATGATTGGAACTCATGAATGTGAATTGGAAATTCACTTCCTTAAAATTTTACGGGCATTGCTATTAGAGTTGTGATCAGAATGGATTTCATTTCTCATTTTAATGATTTTAATCACAAATTTATTTACTGTAGAAAAAAAAGAATACAAAATATTACTGTATAAATAACATAAGTCACAAATTGATTGCAAATACAAAAATTTCGTCCCGGAATCCAGTATCATTCCAGAATTTGAGAAGTATTCCGAGACAACATTCTGAATTTGAAAACGAATCTTACAAATCCTTCTGTAACTAATAATTAAAACAGCAGATAGTATGAATCATTCAATAGTGAGATATATCCGCATTGACCCAGTGTCAATATTGTATCAATACAATTATCATCAATGAGTTAATGGACTGTTTATAAATGATTTCAGTAAATGCATCCAGCCAGTATTACCAATTCTATTTTTGTTCGTTCTTCTTCTACATATCGCTCAATTACTGCTACTGATCTCTCCGCACTTCTTGAATTACCTCTATGAATACGATCCAAATCTGTCACTTACATTCAACTACCTTATCATGACGCTATCACTTCTTATCACATACATATCATTTTCGAATCATTCAAAATTTATCATCACACTCAACGACGACAACCGAACAAACGATTGTCATCGATTCATCAGATTCTTCGCTGGTCCAATGTGCTTGATAGGTCAGTGATTTACTATTGATTTGCCCATTTCTTCGGTAACGAACTGATTTGTGAAGTCTTTCCTCCATTTCGCTTCCCATTTCATCTCGAAATTTCGTCCAAATCTCCACTTCGAACACTAGCAAAAAAACATTCGCACTTCGTATTTGACAATGAATCAAATCAATTTCGTTCTTTACTTTGAGAATTTTGCTCCATTGTTGAAATCGACAAAAGTGGGCTCTCGAAATCTCCAAGCGCATTCGGCTCTAAATATTTGAAATTATAACTGAATATTTGAGACGAAACCAATCACTTTCAGTTGTTCCTGTCGTGTTGACGACAGCAATTTATTTGTTCGATAAACGAGAAAGCAATGACTGGTAAATTCATTATTACTCTCAGCTTTTGAAGCTTTATTAGAAATGCAGAGTGCACTCGAGCGATTTTTTATGAGTTTCATTCAAGTAGCTTCGTAAATACTCATTACTTGAGACTTTTGAGTTTTAATCGTCAAAGTTTTTGGCATTTCTGAAAGGATACATTGATCGTGAATCACACCTGAAACTATCACTCGAATATCTCAATTTCAGCTTATTGAAATCGCTCGATCCGTTTATACTCCTCACATTCCATCTACCAATAAGCCTCAGTGCTCTGATAACGTTCGTTTGTTGCATCTGTACTGTACGCCAAGGACTAACATTGAAACGACGAGTTCGGTGTGCAGGAAACGATAAAGACACTGTGAACGAAACTTTGATGCGGATTGCGATTTGTTTAGTGCTTATTGAAATACTTCTGATTTGTGATATTTGGTTGTTTGCTTTTCACAATGCGACATTTTTGAGTGTATTGCTGTTGAGTGTTACGCATCTGATCTTATCGCTGTTTTTGTTTCTTTTATTCGTTTCGTTCATTTCGTTGAACGGTTATTTGCAAACGATGATGCTACAAGATGATGAAGATCCCCATTCGGCCACAACCAATCTCGAAAGGAAGCGGAATATATCTTTGCTTGGTGATTATCAACAAGAGAAAATCACTGATCAGAACCATCTGACAAATCATAACACCCATTTTAGAAATGATAAAAATCACTTCACGTACATTTCCGATTCACTCGATTCTCTGGCCTCGTTGCACCACAACCATATCTTTCAACGAATACCCCCTCAATCAAATGCCTTCGCCTCATCCGATAAACCCATGGTCACTATTGTTTGAAATGAGAACTGACAATGAGCACAAAATGACAAATTCATCGAGCCGGAGACGCATTCCTTTTCTCGAGAAAGCGGCACCACCAATGGACTGATTTTGAGGCCCAAAGGTTCGCAATAGAAATCAGTATTACAATTTCCGAGATATTCTATTCTAAAATACCATTCTAATCATTCGAATCCAGTCAGAAGTC